GCTTGACCTTTGGAAGTCTGAGAGCTTCAATTTATCTGCTCTCTAAATATGTTTACAATAAAAATGCCATTAGAAATATGCTGTGAGGATGAATGTCAGTAAAGAACTGTGAGACCCATGGATAAGAGATGAAAAGGAAGTCTAAATATCATAACTACAAGCTAATTAAAATTTAATGTGACTTAAAAATCACATTGCTATCTGGGGCAGATTCATAGATGATACACTAAGAGCAAGTTTTAATTTATATTTTATTTTGAAGTCTTACAATAACCCTTGAGAAATACACAAAACAAAATCACCTGATATTTCTCTTTTGCTTTGGAAGAATCCCAGTGACTCTGGGACCTCGGAAAAATTCCAGCTGGCTTAGACAAAAATAACTTGTTTTTAATCTTGAAAAATCTTTAATATTATTTTCACAGTAACAAAGAGACAAGGATGTGAACCAAGTGATGCACAAATTAGACTTGGACTGCACGCTATCTCTTCCCCGCGAGCTCCTCCTCTATGGCATTTGCACAGTCCAATCAATTATTTGATTGCTATTCAAATAATTTGTCATCATGGATGTCAATTCATGTGGAAATGTGGAAATATGAAATATAGGGTTCTAATAACACCAATTAAGAGCTGAAATTTTAAAAGTTCTGACATATATATTGTAGACAGCAATTTGTTTTGTCAAAGGATGATTCAGTTTAAAAAAAGTCTACCAAAAAAATCATTTTTAAAAGCCCATATACTTCTCCAGTATATCTAAGCAGTAAGGTTTAATTAACAAATATTCAGATGTACATTTGTGTGGTGTGTGTGTGTGTGTGTGTGAGAGAGAGAGAGAGAGAGAGAGAGAGAGAGAGAGAGAGAGAGAGAACCATCGAGTACAAAAAAAATATTAATTATACCTCTGCCAGTAAGATTTACTCATAAGAATTACAAAAATGTTTGTGCCCAACACAATTATCCCGAGAAGAGGACATTTCATAATTTTAGGTAGGGTGGTGTTAAATCTGCTCTAACTGCTTCAGCTATTTGTTAGAAACAAATCCCAATTGTGGAAACAACCTTCAGAATTGGGAACAGCGGATGCTCAAAGCTGGCTGAATTGGGAATGAGACAGGAGTGACCTTTTGCAGATACACAGCATCACTTAGGGACTGAGAGATACATTAGTACAGCCGCTCTCTCATTTTACACGTGAAACCGCTTGACCCAGAGAGGACAAGGGCCTTTCAAGGGCTGCACAACCGGCAGAAGACACAGTGTCCCCACTCCAGGACAGCGCTCCTACGCTACCCCATGCCGGGGGCTGAGCCTTCAGATAATGAGATGTGTCTTTCTCTTTCCCATGTTGGTACTCACATGCCGACTACCTAGTATGGGGCGTGTGGTGGGGCGCCAGGGGACAGGGAAACGTTTTATATTTATATTGAGAGACTATACATATTTTACACATTATATTTATGTGTAACTTTGCATATTCATTCTCTTCCTCTCATGAAGTCAACTGGCTTCTGCTACCTACTTGAGATTAAGCCTAGGGCTCCTTTGCTGAAATGCATTTTTCCCCCTCACCCGAGGATATTTTTTCCATTGATTTCTAAAGAGCAGAAGGGAGAGAGGAGTGGGGTAGGAGAGAGAGAGAGAGAGAGAGAAACATCAGTGTGAGAGGGACTCATGGATTGGTTGCCTCCACATGCACCCTGACCAGGGCTGGGGAACCTGCAACTGAGGTACATGTCCTTGACCAGGAATCAAACACAGAATCCAACCTTCGGTCTGCAGGTCAACACTAACCACTGAGCAAAACCAGCCAGGGTATGCTGAAACTCTCTAATATACTACTATTATAGATACTTGATATCATTATTGAGCACCTATTATATTAGGTTCACTTTAGAGATGTCATCTAGTTAATACTGCCCGGTCTGCACTTGTATTTGATACTTGAGCCTTAGAAGCATTCCGTGACCCGTCCAGTGGAGGACGGGCCTTGAAGCATTCCCTCTCACTGCCCGCAGAGGCCATGCTCCTCCCTCTGCCCTCCAGCCTCCCACCGCTCACAGAAGGTGCTCAGGAGCCATTTGTGGGTTGTGATGCCTGAAAGAGCTAGATTGGAGTTTATGCCAAGTTACCACTTATGTAAGTCTTCGTTCCTACCGGGATCTGAAGAAGGGGAAGACCATTACAAAAATAAGAAATACTCAAATTAGCAATCAAGGTAACCAAAATTTAAAGAAAAGTAGTAAAAAAAAGTCTCCACCAAATTGATTAGTCAAAGCCAATCGCCAAGTGTGTTAATTTGAATGGATGGAAAATGTTCCAGTAGAAAACAAACAAATCATTTTCTTAATGTAGTTTACTTTTCTTTCTTTTTTTATAGGAGAAAAATCATTTTATTTTCTAGTTGTTTTTTTAATTTTTTCCATCACCATGTATCCCCTCTATATTTCCTGGTTTTTATTTGGCATATTTCTGATGGCTCAGAAATCATTTCCTTCCTTAACCATTGTCTGAGAACTATTTCCTAGGCATTAAAAGTATATCAGTGGAAAAAGTAAACTTGTAATGTGGAAAAAATGTTTTCTCAAGACAATTTAAACACATTGAGGTGCTTTTTTTTGTTAAAAAAAATGTAATTGTAAGCTGTCTTCTTAGAGAAGCAAATTCTAGAGATCCAAGACATATTTCCTGTGCTCTAAGGATAGAACTCTGTCTTCAACTCTGTTTTTCCTTCTAAATGACCTGCTGTTTCAGTGAAGGGGACTCATTTTTTTGCACTTCATTTTCCTAAAGATGATATGCCGAATATTACAAATGTTAGATAATGACTAGGATTAACAGAAATCCTACACCCCAAGTCTTAAGCTCTATGAAGTAGGAAAAACAATTTTAAATTACATTTTGCTGATACCTTCATAAAAGTGTGAAATAATTTAGCTTTCCTGGGTTTTACAGAAAACACTTTAAAATGCCACAAAGATGTATAACAAGACATAAAACTGCAAATATTAACTGTCTATTTCCTTGAAATATAATTTAAATGTGGTGACTAGGACAAGAAAATGTCACATTCCTTTCTCTTGCTAAGGAAATTGCAAATTTCCTTTGCAAAAATAAAATATATGCAGTCTTCATAAGCATATATGTGACAGTTTTAAAGTTGTCTTGTTTGAGGTTAAAGGTTCCTATAAATTTTCATGATTGTCTCCAAGTTGAAAAAAGAAAAGAAGAAAAAGGGAGACACTAACCTCAGGTACAAGTTTGTTTTCTCACCAATGTTAAAAACAGTGTTTGTGCTATACCCACATACTGTACTTTCTAAACAGCCTGAGTTATGTAATTTTCAAATCCATCTTCGAATGAATACACTTTTGAATTTTTATTTGTTTCTCTCCTTGATCTGCCATGTTGTAGACGGAAAGTTAATCCTCTCTTTGCCAGGGTTTGTAAAACAAATGGATATGCATGGTACTAAATGGCATGGGCAGTCCATTACTGATAAGCGTGCAGTGTTTAGTTGGGGGATTTCAAGACACTATGAGCCTTGGCTGAGAGCATTAATTTCACTTGGGAACTGAGTAATTCTGGAAACAGAGGGCCTCTTTTCAAACACAGATCCATCAAATTTCCAGAATTTCACCAACGTGAAATGAAGGAAAAGATGAATAGTTACATCACTGTCATAAGGGCTTTATGCCTATTTACTCATTTAATCCTCACACTGACCTTATTAGGTAGGTATTGCTATTGTCTCCTTTTTGCAGATGAGGAAACTGAGGCCAGAGAATAAAAAGTTTTGGACAAAATTCACACGGTCTCTAAGTGGCAGACTCGTGCTCTCAGCCACTCAGTGGATTTTAAGCTGTGATTGTTTATATCTTATTAGAGAAAAAAAGATGAATTGGAGAAGGTCACGTGGTGGTTTATTCTGTCTGTAAGAACTGGGTTCCTTGTGATTTCAGAATTCAATCCAGAGTGCATAGATGTAAAATCTTCCGGGAAGAGTAAGTGACGGATCACAGGATTTCAGAGCCAGTCCAAAACCTCTGAGGGGAACAGGTAAGTCCCTAGCTCAGCTCCTGGCTCCAATGCACTGGCCCAGCTAGTGGCTTTGCCTGTCATCGAGGCTTTCCTGGTCTCTGTAGAGCAGTGGTTCTCAACCTTCTGGCCCTTTAAAAACAGTTCCTCAAGTTGTGCCCCAGCCATAAAATTATTTTCGTTGCTACTTCATAACTGTAATGTTGCTACTGTTATGACTTGTACTGTAAATATCTGATATGCAGGATGGTCTTAGGCGACCCCTGTGAAAGGGTCGTTCGACAGCCAAAGGGGTCGCGACCCACAGGTTGAGAACAGCTGCTGTAGAGGTTCCAGATTGACGAACCAGTCAGGACTACTGGGGAGAACCGAATCCAGACCTAGCTGTGGGATACAGCTACATGTTTTTTGAAACTAGTAAGTATGTTGCAGGGATAAAAGTACACATGTACATAGATATGTCTTTGTAGAGTTGTGAGTGTTTTTTTTAAACTTTATTTCTGCCCCCCTCATTATTAGCAGTTCAATAAAGTCTATTTTACTCCTAATATTGCTTATCAGTAAAAAGAGCTTGCTTCTGGATTCAGATTTCAATAGGTTCCCACTGTAAGAATAAACTCTGTTCATGAAAAACAATACATATTGCTTTGGCCATGACAAGAATAATTAGAGTGCATTTATTGGTCACAATTTGTGTTAAACATAGAAGTTTCCATATATATTTATGAGAAAGGTACAGCTCTTACATAAATTATCAAAATAAAATGGAATAATTTCCAAGAGTTTCTATTTAATACATCTTTAAAAATTAAACTAATTTGACCACTGGCACATTATTTTTTATATTTCAAAAGTATTTGTAGAGTTTTTATAAGCACATAAACTTATTAGTAACATTACTGATTAGAATAATTTTGCAATTTTAGTCATCTCCAAATGATCAAAAATATAGCACTCACCTTTTGCCCATTCATCCCTGGAATCCCATGTGCTCCAACAGAACCCTAAGGAGACACATGATTAAATTAAATTGATATCACAATCACAAAATACTTCAATTCTAAATTTATATTGTGTTAGTTATGTCAGCCAAAGCTTTACCTTGCCAAAACGTATCTGGGAGGCTATGTTTTTCGGTTCTTACCCTCAGTGTTTAAATATACAACAAGGTACACAGACTCATCAAGCTTTTGCAAAAACTATAGAGTTAAATTTAGCTGTTTCTCAATATCCACCAAACTGCAGTAAGATTTTAAAGAAAGTCACATCATAAATTGAGATCCACAGCGGTCACAAGGCCACATGGCTCTAAATTTGGGTGCTTTTAGGAAATAAACAGGCTTAGTTCCATCTGGAAAATGCCTAGCAGTAGCAGCAACTCTTGAATTTTATGAATTTAAATACCATAAAACAAAAGGTAATTAAAATAACAACCACTTGTTGCACAATTAGTAAAATAAGGGACCCGTGTTGTAAAACTCAAATTTATTGCATTTGCAACATTTCCCCCCAGACTTTCAGGGAGCACATTGAGCCACATGAGTGTGAATATGTCTTGCAAAGCAGACTAGGAAAAATGTAACAAATGTTAAACACTGACTAGGAACAACACGACTTCCGTACATAAAATATTAAGTGAGCGCGCCTGCGCGCAGGCTCTCGGACATGTGTGCATGTGCTTTGGGGTGAATACCAATGACTGGACATAGGTGGGGTGAACTGAGAATAAGCAAGCTGTCACCTGAGGAAAATCTATGACATTGAACTGGATATGGTAACATTAACAAATGTTTTCAAATAGTGATGTCATTTCCTTCCATACACCTCCCTTTTAGGCTCTGGAGAAACCATTTTTAAAGAAAATGTGCTTATTCTTTGCCTCGCACTAGAAAACAGCTTTTTCTTAGTCTATGTATGCTATTAAGTTTCTTAATAATAGTGGAAGAAGTTAAAAAAATAGTAATTATAAACCTAAAACTGCTCTATAAATTAGTCGATTAAAAATACAGTCATTATAAACAAACAAAACACATTGAGAGGGCAAGTTCCTTAGTGCTTCCATGGCTCTACTGAGTGAGTCATTAAAGTACTTCCCGAAGCCTGAGGCAGTAATTTTAGCCTGGTTGCATGTGGATTAGGGTAGCTTTACAATTTCACACCATGCTTAATAGAGACATTATTGCGAAGGACAGAGTGTTCCTATACACAAGTTGTCTCACAACTCATTGGCTTTTACTTGGTTTGCAGGGTTATGTTTCAACAGATGCCACATGCCCATTGCTTGGGGATAAAAAGTCTCTATCTTTGATGGATTCCAAAGATAAAGATAATCACTTGTCCACCTGTTGTGATACAATTGTTTACTCTTTCCTTTTTTAATATATTTTATTGATTTTTTACAGAGCGAGGGAGAGAGGGATAGAGAGTTAGAAACATCGATGAGAGAGAAATATCAATCAGCTGCCTCCCGCACACCCCCTACTGGGGATATGCCCGCAACCAAGGTACATGCTCTTAACCGGAATTGAACCCGGGACCCTTCAGTCTGCAGGCCAACGCACTGTCCACTGAGCCAAACCGGTTAGGGCACAATTGTTTTCTTTAGTTTTCTACAGGTTAAATGTCCCTTTCCCCGCCTTGCGGGGTGGGAGGTGTAATGGGCAATGGGGACTTAGTGATGCTTTGCTGGCAAAGGGCCATCTACCTGTACTGATACGTTTATTACTGCAGGATGGGTGTAATTTCAGAAATTCTAGACCCTCTCCAATGTAGAAATAACAATCAGGAAGTCACTTTTCAGATTACCCCAGCAAAGGAAGGCACCAGGGGGCCACTTGAGTACAGTCACCAAGCAACAAGTACGTCCTTTGGTCTGGTCAGTTCTGTGGTCATTTGGCAATCAGGTATTTGAGCAAGGCCATGCACTCCATTTGCAGTGTTGTACGGCCCTTCACTTCAAAGATGTCACATTTAATCAGTATTTGAATGAAAAATTAAATAACCTACAAGTTTGGCAGATAGCATAAAAAGAGTCTGCTCTGGATTCTCTATAATGGGATTGATTAGAAATCTAACGGCTCACATTCTATGGTTGCATTTTTAGACTGCACAAACCAGACCGCTTCGCCGTGGCTTGCAGTAGCTAATCCTATCCACCTCTCAAGCTTAGCCATTAGGCAACGGGAGCATACTTACATTCACAGTATTGTTTATACTTTACCTTTTGTCCTGGAGGCCCCATAGGACCCTAAAAAAAATCAATTCAATTAACGTATTATAACCATTTAAACTTAAATGACCAATTAAAACTGCTATTCTATAAGGTTCTCTTAGCTGTGTTGAAATATGCTCATATTTTGTACATCAAGGCAAATGAAATTTTCAGTTGGAAGAACATAAATCTTGTCTCTTATTCTCTTTTGGAGAACATTAAGCACATGCAGTAAGATTCTGATCTTTTTCCTTTAAAAAAGAATCTTTGTTATCCCAGCACCTCTGTTTTTTCAAATACCTGCAAATCCATCACATCAGTCTCATAGAAAGCTCAGCTGTTGCTACGAGAAGCAGTTAAAATGCAATGCGGTTCCCCAGTAAGTGGACACATTCTCTGACCTCTGCGTCTTCAAAACCTCAGTCAGATTTGCAAAGAACATAATTCAACAGTATTACAAATAAACATGTTTTACTCTATTCTTCTTCTCAGGAAATGCGGCTAATGGACCTGCACAAACACTTGTTTACAAATGAGGGGACAACAAGGTCACTTGTGGCACCTAGAGTACCGTAAGGAAAGGAACAAATGATGCTGTCAGCTGTTGCATAAACTGTGACACTAGGGAGGGAGGCAGGGGGAGAAGAAATATAATATTTAGGAAGATGAATGGAAATATTTACATACAAAATGGAAATGTGGCAGTTCTGAGATTTAGCAGTTTTTCAACTACAAAGTCTGTGTTGAGATTCTGTTGGCTTTATTTGGAACAAGGCATGGCTTTGTGAGGATGGAAAAGAGCACAAAGAGAAGCAGCTATAATCCTGACCATTCATGTCTATTTCAATATTAAAATATTAAGCAATTTTTCCAATTTTTGAAAAATACTTCTAAACTTAGTATATTTTAACAAAGTTATAGATCATCTACCATTTCATATAAAGAGCTCTTTATTCCATTACACTTAACTAATGGCTAGTTTGTTTTCAATGTGTTGCATTTCAGTTAATCAGCATCTTACATGCATAATCTGAAACACTGAAGCACAAGAGTGGTCATCAGAGGAAGAACTGGTCATACATAATTTTTTTCAGTAAAAAGTATACAATGTTTAGGAACATTTGAAGAATCTGTTCCTCATAAATTATTTTGTAATCCTCACAGGAAGAGTAACAATTTCCTCATATAATCAGCTTCAGATTATTGAAAGCACATGTGCAATATCACCTTTATATATTCTTTTCAGATTTATTCAACCAACCAACTTCTTAATGAGCTTGTTACCTGACATATCTGTGTGGTCAGAATCCTTCCTACCCATCTCATTCCTTGTATTTAAAATTCTCCAAGCTTTATTTGATTTTTAAAAAACCTAATCTGAGGACATGATTTTATTGGTTGAGAGTGAGAGCGAGAGCGAGAGAGAAACATCAATGTGAGAGAGAATCATCAATTGGTAGCCTCCCTTATGTGCTTCCACCAAGGATGAATGGAACCCCTAATCCAGGCATGTGCCCTGACCAGAAATCGAACCTGCAACCTTTTGATGTACCTAATGATGGTCTAACCAACCAAACCACCTGGACAGGGCAAATTCTCCGTTAGAGATTTTACAGGAAAAATAAGGCTATCAGGTATAAATTCCCTCAACATCATATCTCTCAACAATTCAAACTCAGTGTTCCCCCTTCCATTGTCAGAAGAAGAGGCCCTCATCCTCTACAAGGCAAAAGCAACTTGGAGACACTGGAATCCATCTTGCCTCTGCCCTTGGGGATTTGAGAAAATCAATTATCCCTGCATCCATATCAGAGCCTCCTGCTTCCCACTAGTTCCTTCCCCTCAGCACATAAACACGTTTAATCATTTCCTCAATCGGGTAAATTGTTTGGGAAATGAATGTTAATGCAGAGTAAAGTCAGAATTTGAAAGCTATAGTTACAGATCTGAGCGTGAAGAAAAGACTTGGGTTTTATCACTGTCTATGATTCCATTTTTCCAAGTGTCTCCAGGGTATGTCACTTCTTAAAATGTTGATGTTAAAAAGAAAATCATATAACAAAAAGTACATTAATTCAATGTTTAGACTGAGAATGTATATGTTCAATTCAAAAGGGTTTGTTTCCCATTACAAACCTAACTGTGCCACTTGAACAAATATTGTTCACTAAAATTGAATATTTTATTATATTGATGTATAACCCTGGGAAAAATATGTCATATAAAATTAGAGCAAATTTTAAATAAAAATTTTTTAACTAGAAACTAACGTAATTTTCTAATTTGGTCTCTATTAGGTAATCGCATATCAGAGATTTAGAAAGATTACTTATAACTCTGAAATCCATAAAAATTATGTTAATTGTATATTTTAGCACAGTATTTAGTGAAAGCCAAAGGATTGCTATAAACAAAGTTTTTCTTCACTGTTAGGAAACTACTGTCATTTTTGCTAAAATCTAAAAGTAAAAGCAGTTTTCAAAATATAACATTAATTTTAAACTGTGAATACATGTCTTGTGAATTATTCATAACTATGTTGCCAAGGATAGGTTCTTAGCTACCAAAAATTTGAATTTCTCATTTGATATCATTAGCAGGAAAAATGGTAGCAAGCCAAGGATAGTGTCATCCGTTACTAGGAGGGGACTAGGAATAAAGCAGAGTTGAATATAAGACACAGACATACATTTGAGTAAGCATAAGCACACAACACACATAATAACACAACATAGTTATTTTCCTGATCAGACTTTGCTTTTATGTATGTGCTTTGAATATCCTTAGGTTAACAAACCCATTATATACCTGTGATATTGTGGTCATGAAATTTAAGCTTATAAATGAAGGCTTTGAGTTCAAAAATTGATTTTGAAGTTAGAGTATGTTGCTACCAGTTAATTAAGATGTCTACATTTGATTAGTTTTGTGGTGTCTAGTACAAATATAAATATATAAAATAGTGGGCAATTGCCATAGAACCATTCACTAACTTATCTAATCTTTCTTATTTTCATCTTGCTTCAAAAGTCATTATGAATAATGACTTAGATGAATAATGTCCTAAGTTCATTACTTACTAGTCAAACCAGTGCTTCTTTTTATTCCTCAAATTAAAGTCAATTTTCTAGTGTTCTAAGATCTCTAAAATAATTACACTATTGTTATCCCCATGACTTAATAAGTTTGGATCAAATAGTTTTCCAAACCAAAGAGTTAATCTTTTCTGTCCATATTTATTAATCAATGAATTGTTCCTTCCTTAGACATTTTTTTGATGGGCACCTTTATGTTTGCATATATTTTGTATACAACCAGTTAAAATAAGACTAATCTGGTCTCTTTTATTCAAACCAGTTAAAATAAGACTAATCTGGTCTCTTTTATTTAATTTTTTAAAATTCTCACCCAGGGAGTGAGGATATTTTTTCCATTGCCTTTTAGAGAGAGAGAGTAGAAGGGAGGGGAGAGGAAAAGGAGGAGGAGGAGGGGGAAGGAAAGTGGAGGAGGAGGAGGAGGAGAAGGAAGAGAGAAACATCGATGCAAGAGACACATCCATTGGTTGCATCCAGTATGCGCCCTGACCTGGGGCAAGGATCAGACCTGAACCCAGGAATGGAACTTGCGACCCTCTGTTGTGCTGACACTCTAACCACCGAGTCACGCCGTTCAGGTCTCTTTAAAATAACTTCTTTGTATATGTCTCAAGATTAAAAACTGTGTAACATATGGAATCTCAACATATTAAGCTATATATATATTTAAGTTAACTCCAAAAGTGTTAAAATATAATTTGAACCTTAAAATATGCTCATTTCAATATAGGTTCTGGGTGTTGTAAAATACATCAAGCTTTTTCATTGAAAGATTCTGCATAATGGCCATACCTTTGCTCAAATGATAAAAACAAATGAGCCATTGAAAGTTTCACTTGTCTACAGGTGAACTTTTACACCAAAGTTTTCACAATCTTTCAGAAAAGACCATGGGGAGCTATGCCAAGTTAAAACTTCTTTAAAAAACTAATAAATTTACGCAGTGCACTTGATTTTCTTCCCTGTTTACCCCACCCCTGCTAGTTTCCCTTCTAAAGATTATATAAAATATTAGGTAGAATATGGTCAGCACATAAGTTAAAGAAATATGATAGCCCCCGTTTAGTGATTGTCTTTACCGCAAGTGTGCTGCTCAGGCCTGAGTAATGCTTTACTCCTTGTGCTCCAAGTCCAACAGATACTTACTCAGGAATATATTTCTGGTCCACCCTTCTTCTTCAGCAGCGTTGCTAAGCCCTTGTTCAAACCCTTTTCTCTGTCACATAGCTAATGTGACATCCACCCAGGGGCCTCTCTGCTTTTAGTCTCCTTCCATCCTTTCTTCACAGCGCTGCCTGAGTAAGCTTTCTAAAAGGCTGATGCATTTATATCCTTCCTCTGCTGAAAAACCCTTCAGTGTCTTTCCAGAGCTTTTGAGAGAAGTCCAAGCTTTCGTAATAGCTGTAGTTCAACACATAAGCCATGCTTTCACATCTCTACACCTCTGGCGGTTGGTTTCTGTAATGGGCTTTTTATATCTTTGGTCCTTTCTTCCACCCTTTCCATAATGCAGAGGTCAGTGTCTCCCCCTTGGGGTTAGGTTCCCTGCTTTTGTTCTTCAAAGCACCCCATGGTAGGACTTGGTTTATAGAATTTACCAACAGGATTGTAATTGAGTGGTTATTTCTTTCTTGACTTTAAATGTGTTTATCATGCTCAGTAGCTGGCACATAGTAATTGCTCAGTGAATCCTTTTGAGTTCCTTCATTAATTCCTCTCCTTAACAGTGTTTGAATGCCCACTGAGTGTCAGGCAATGTTCTAGGCACTGGGGATACAGCAGTGAACAAACTAAACAAAAATGCATGGCCCCCTGGACTGCATATCTAGTAAACAGAGAAAGGCAGTAAACAAATAAACAAATAAAATACGAAGCTGTGTGGGGTGGTAAGTGCTAAAACCAACAAGAAGGTTGGGGTGGGAGATGTAGATGTGGTAGCAT